GGAATCACGTCGCGTAGATAGACAGGCACGCCATGGTAGCGGAGCCCAGCCATAATGACGTCCCAGGGCAGGGTGTAAACGCGTTGGCAATATCCAGCGACACCGCCAAAACAACCCCGCCCTCCACCACAGTCCCGTCTGACACATCGCGCAATCTCGCGATCGCGTCGAATGTCAATCGCCCCTTCCGAAAGCCAAACTGGCAAATGCTCAAAGAGCTTTCCCGCTTCGTTCAGCAGCACGATCGGTCGATACGCCGAAGGCGAGTCCGGCGGTTGGCCAGGCTTCTGGAGAAGAACCGGCCCTTCTTCCTTCCACAAGTCCGTAAAGACACGGTTACGCAGACAAAAGCTTGCGGAACCGCTCGTCGAGGCCGAATTGCAAGGCAAGAGACAGAACCTTCCCGTGCACCCCATTAAAGCTGAGCTAGGCCGATGTCACGTCCGGGACCCCGGGAAGCGAAGCACCCGCATGGGGAAACAAGGCCGACACGACTGAGTCCAGAAGTGACGGCTTCATGCTGGATGTAAGGGGTGGGGCCCAGGGGACGCAGCTTGCTCATTACGAGCTTGTACGGCCGCCCCCATGGATCGAGCTCCAAGATGCTCAGAAGCTCCTCCTACACCCTTTCCTTCGCCTCCGCGATCTTCTTCCTCAGGGCCTTCTTTGCCTCCTGATGCATAGTTTACCCGGGCAGAGCCCTGTACCCGGGTAACCTTAATACAACTGGCGGTCGGGCGGTCGCCAGAGGTTGGCCGCTAGATGACCCGGTTACTGTCGGACCACTACTGCGGGCAAGCGGGGGCGCGGTGTCGCGCAAAGGTGCCTGAGCTTATTAGCCAGCTTATTTTTCTTAAACCTTTAGTTTATTTTAGTTCCAGGGAATGAAGTTGAATTATTTAGATTAGCTGTTTTAGAAAGTTCGGCTTGATATAACACTTCAACACAGCCAAACACAATCTTTAAACGATTTTTTTTCTTTAGAAATTATAGCGCCTGATAAAAATATATAGCAAAAGTGCATGTAATGGAAAATCTTAATTTAAACCTTAAGTTTATTTTTACTTCTACCGGTTGAAAGTGCACTTGGACGTGAATATTTAAAGCAGTATTTGTTTTATAGTTGAGGAAAGTAAAATACATATTTAATTTATACTCTAACTTTATAATTTTACTCTCGTCTGTAGGCATAATCTATGCTATTTTTTATATCAAATGAATTGTAATGTATCAATATGTATGTATGCAATAAATAATATTGTATTCTAAATCAATTAAAACATGCCTTGGTCGCATTAGACTTTCAAGCAAAAAAATATATATAATACAGTATTTTACAGTAGTCATATATTCTTCTTTGTTTGTTAATACAAAAGGAGCTTTAATATAAAACTTTTTGAAATCATGAACATTTTAAGCTTTTTTTTAGAAAGCATAGTCATATATTTTTACTACTAATCAGTTTCAAATTCTATGTAATGCTTATAATATGACAAACTATTAAGGACTTGATGACAAAACAGTAACAATTAAATAAAATGCTTACGTATGCTAAATATATGAATATTAAATTGGTAAAATTAAGATAAACTGAAGTATACAGACTATTGCTCTTATTTGTTATCTATGCAGGCTGGATAAAGGTCATGTGACAGTAGACTTTGTGTAAATGTCGACTGACAGTTGCCTTGAATGGCGCCAAATGTAAACGGTGCAAATTTGCTACGTCAAACTTGGACGAATTATTAAAAGCTTTAATATAATTTCACCTCTCTTCTTTGTTATTGATTACTAAAATACGTATATTTGAGGAACCAATTGAACTATTCTCGCCTCTCAGTTTTGTTTGTATTAATAAAACTGAAAACACTAACTGCCAATAACCGACCTTCACAACCGGCATAAAAATGTGGAACGGTCAGTAAATCTTAGTAGATTATGGTGCAAATATGTATTTTCACACGTCTCGTAACGTTATTTCTTTTTGTAGATCAATCCGTCGCGGGCGGTGGATTTTTCAACGCAACAAATCAATTTGCCAACGCTGGAACTCCTAATCAAGGCCAAAAATCAGTATGTATACTTGAGATTTAATTTTTACATTATTTCCTCGCTTATTCTTTTCTTTGATGAATTTACAGGGACGTCGGTCATCACGAACTGCACCTATAGTAATAAAGCAAGCTCTGCATTGTGGTGATGAAGGTATCAAAATTTGGGGAACAGAGATACAAATTGTGTCTATTGTTGCTAGGATAAGGAACATTCGGATACAAAGTACTAAAATTACATATACAATACAGGATATAACTGGCAGGATGAAAACGGTGCTATGGCTGGACCAGGAAGCTATGGAGGAGGATGTAAGCTTATTTATTTTATACTTACCTACTTTTTAATATCTATGGTTATATTCTACTACTTCATGTGACAAATGTTTCTTCCCAGGACAAATCTGCACCAAAAGTTCAAGTAAACGATTACATCCACGTGTTTGGTAATGTGAAAACAAACAAGGGTAAAAAAGTTTTGATGGCTTTTAAGATAACACCAGTGACAGATGTTAATCTTATAACATTCCACTACCTCAACTGCATTAACAATAAACTACAACTCGAAGCGCGCTCTAAAAAGGAGAAAACCACTAATATGTCTAGTTTCACTAATAATGTACCTGCAAATTCTCTCGTGGGAATGGACAATGGCTCGGTGAATGGGTTGAATCCTCGTCAAATGCTAGTGTACAATCTCATCAGGGTCTCCACAGTTGAACAAGGCATTAGTAAACAAGATATATATGCCACATTGAAAGATAAAATGTCCAGCGTAGAATTTGAGTAAGTATTGATTAATAAGCACAAAAGCTGTGTCCCGATACATAATAAAGTTAAGTCAGCATGACATAGATAACTGATCAGCTATTTCCCTGGATATAAAATAAAAAACAAATGTTTTGGGTGGACTTTATATTATATCAGAAATGCTCCATGCCTCACCAAGAGGCATAGGATTTTATTGTATTTTCTACTACCATTATACACACCATATCGTAATAAACAAGCTATCCCCAAATATAGACTCCATAAACAACAAATTGATTTGCGGGGAATTGTATTTGTATGTTTAATACATTGCCAGTTGAGGTTGCAAATTTATCAATAAATAAGTTTAAAAAAATTCATAAAATTTAGATTGTCTCAAGAGGCATATCAGTGTTTGAACAATTTCTTATATGACGAGAATGCCTGGCAGTGATATGAAGTGCTGCTTTGGTTAATGAATTGACAAAAATGTTTTAGTTTATAAGATATGTTTTAATTTTAAAGAGAATAAGATATTTTTTCTTATACCAGTTTGGTAAGAGTAATTTATTTTTAATTTCAGTAACATTTTAGAGTGGATGTGCAATGAGGGTCACATCTACTCAACAATCGATGAAGAACATTTCCGCGCCACAGATGCCTTCTAAAGTATTCATTTTTTTCATTTTAAATAAAACAAATGCAAACTGATTTAAGATTCTTTTATTATCTTTTGATCAATGTAGTAAATGCATAAAAAGAGATTTTTAGGTGTTTTTCACTTGATACAGATAACAATGTTATTTCAACAAGTTATAATGTAAACAAACTATGTATATTTTTTTATTATAATGTAAAAAAAATACAACATGTTCACGATGCTTTTAAATATCTGGAGACCTATAATTCATCTCTCACGGCTGTGTTTTTAACATCTGGATACTTTCCATCGTACGTTTGACTTTCCAATTGCACATTTTTAAGTTCATTTTGTTCCAGTAGATACTCTTTAGCCGTCCAGGCTTGGGAGCCATCTTTGAACATGAATATAGCTCTATCGTCATCTATCAAGTATCTGAAAAAAATAATAAACATATTTTGCATTTGTTGGAAGGTGTTTTCTATGTGAAATTGTGGAGGCAAGTTTTTTATTGGCATTAAAGTTATATAAAGTAGATTCTACATATAGCATGCAAACTAATCTTTTATTCTTCTAACAAGATACTTTAAATGAAGTTATATACCTTTCCGCTTGTATATGGTTGCTCCATAATCCGGTTTGCCAAATCTTTGTTAACTCTTCGGTTCTTGCTCTCGGTGGCCGGTTAGCAACGGTGACGAACATCATCAAAGTCTGACCTTTCTTTGTTTGCTGTAGAACCGCTTCAGGATTAGACATATCGAGTTGAGCCATGTCTATCGCTGGAGGTTTACGTAAATGTTCTGGTAGTTCATCTTCTGGCAGAGGTTCTTCGTCCTCATCCCACTGGTCTAATAACCTAACACGTAAACAAAATAAATAACTTAAAAGGTCTTGACTAAGATGTTATCAAGTTTGTTATCATCGGTATACATCACCGTTCCATGTCAGCGTCGGTGAAATCTCGAATGTCTTTCTTCGCCCAAACCGGCTTTTCCTCATCTTTATATTTTTTTGATAATACACAAACGCAGGATAGAATTATTAGCAAACCTAAAGATTTATGCATATTTAAAAACTGTAAATATTTCCGGCCGTTGAAAATGCGAACAATGATTAATTAAAAGAATAAATGTATCCTTAAATTATGGAAGTAAATAAAAATCCTAACCACTAAGCAAATAGGAGGCGGGACTCAATAAAAATAATATACAAATGAATGAAACGTACTATCTCCCTCAACAGTCAACTCCAACCTAACAAGAACGTCAACAACCCAAACTTGCCAACATTAATAAAAAAATATATCGATTATAGGTATGTACCAGCGATTAATCGATCAGGTTTTATCGATACCTCTAGCCATCCCTATCTTCCATTTGTTCATGTTGGCAACATTGGTTTATTGACGTTTTTGTTAGGGTTGGCATTCATTCAGTTTGTGCGTAGTCTACTATTTAATATATAACTAAGCATTAAAATAACACACAATTTTAGATACAATGCAGCTTTTATTTTACAATATAATTTACATTTATTATACTCTTTAATCAATATTAATGTAACATTAAAAATGCCAATGACAGGAAATGCCTGTATTTTCAGGGGAAATAAGCGGAGACAGGCGTAGCTCTGAACGTGCTAGGTTTTGAAGGTCTTTTCTCTCTGTAGTCAACTTTAGGCAGCTCGATGTTCTTATTTTCTTTTCCCTTTGTCGAGTGTGACGTCGCAGATTTCACTTTGCTGGAATCTAGAAGTCGTAAAATAACCTTTAATAAGATTATACCGGTTTTGTTTCAAACGCCAATTTACAGTTCGAGGCATTTCCAACTGTTCTTTACAGACGGAATTTCGTACACTAGACATCTATAGAAAAAAAATATATATATATATATAGGTACATTAGTACAACTGGGGATACGTGAGCCTTCATTTACATTTTTATATATCTATACTAATATATAAAGCTGAAGAGTTTGAACGCGCTAATTTTTGGCAGTACTAATTCGAATTCAGACTTATTTTTGTGTTTTTAATTTACTTTAAACAACGACTAGTTGTAACAATTTATAAAGATGAGGAGGTTTGCAAAAACAAATTTTGATGCCCTAAATAACTATTCTACGCGGACGATGTCGCTGACACGGCTAGTTTATGAGTTTATGAGTTCTAAAACATAAGTGTTTGGAGCTCTCATTACCTTTTTTATTAGCGTTCAAGTCTTCCGACACCGGTTTTAGATATTTAGGATCCAGTCCTTTAGCGATTCGCTCTTTTGGATAAACATTTGGACTGTCTTCTAGACTCGACCTGAAATAAGACAATAAATAATTGCTAGTGACAGAATCAAGATGATTTTAAAATACACAATATATTTTTAGAGACCACGAGTTAAATGACGTCATCTCAGTATTCCTGCCACAATATATATTATGTATATATAAAAATATTACTTGGACATCCCGTAGAAGTTAATAGACTCTTCCGACTCGTGCATCAATGAACTGTTGGGGTGTCTGTCGGGCAAGTGAGGCGTGGAACTGGCTACTTTGATACAGTGGTTTCTATCTATCGGAGCTCGGCTGCCGGTCTCTTCCAGTTTTTTATGAAGCCATTGGACAACTGGAAACATTTTACAAAACAAACTGTTACTATACTAATATTATAAAGCTGAAGACTTTGTTTGTTTGATCGCGCTAATCTCAGGAACTATTAGTACTGCCAGTTCCAAAGATTAGCGCGTAACGAGGGTATAAGAAGAGTCCACACACCCATGTTATTGTTCTTGATAGTTTCATCTCTGTCTCTGATCGTTACTTCATTCAGCTCGCACTTCTCTTTCAACATTTCGACCTCTTCGCGTCGCTTCTCCAATTGCTCGGTGCAGTTCTGAATCTGTGAGTTTAGATCTTGTATTTCCTTCGTGTTTCTTTCTATGACCTTCTCTTGTTCTAGCGCTATCGCCGTTCGGCAAAGGAGCTAAAAACAAATTTGTTGAAATAAATCATTAACGGTTTAAAACGCGATATATTGTTTGAAAATTATTTTAACTACGGAACGAGGTTTCGGATTCGGAGCCACGGTCGTAAACGTCGGGCCGCAGTTAAAATAATTGCCTAACAAGTCTATCTAATATATATCGCGTTTTAAACCGTTAAAGTATGTTAAGTATTTAAATGTGATGTATACGTATGAAAGATTTAACCCTAGATTATTTTCTATTTTGTTTAAAATGGCTGTTACCTTATCTTTCATCTCTATAAGATCAGAGTTCTGCTTAGAGATGATCTGGTTGGCCTTCAGCAGTTGCTCCGCTGTCGACTGGGCTGCCTCGTTATTTCTGTTGGCCAGGGATTCGCTCAGCGAGAGACGCCGTTCCAAGCTATCCTGGAAATATTCGTAAAATACACATTTAAATAAAACATATTAACGGTTTAGAACGCGATATATTATAATTGGGCGAATTGACAAAAACATCACTCTTTGAGATATGTTTTAAAATATATCTAAAATGACAGAATATGTTTATAAATAATAATAAATATTTATCGCGTTTCAAACCGTCAGTATTTTATTTAAAAGGTATGTAATCGCAATATAATAACCTTTTCCATCGTCAATGTTTGAATACTTTCTTTAAACTCCTTGATAACATCCGCATCATCTTTCACCGTCTGAAATGTTAAAAAATCCAATATAAGTTATATATTTCAAATAAATGGTTACGGATTCTGGATAGACCTTTTCTAGAGATGTTGTTTTAACGGTTAACTGATGAATCTGCCTGTCTCGCTCTGTTATCTCTCTTTCTAATGCGACATTCTTGGCCGATTGTGTGCTCAACTCGAGGTGAAACCTCTGCACTTCCTTTTCTAGATAACTCGTCCTTTGATTCTTCTCACTGTAAAGAGGATGAGAACTTCTAAGATGTATCGTCTGTTTCGATTTTAAATTATCAGATGTCATTGTTCTATAATCTATATTTGTGAGTTAATAGCAAAGTTCCCTTAACTAAGATTGAATGCGCTTATAGCCTAATTCAGTTTTATACATTCAGCTCGACTCTGGAGTTCACATGTACTTTAATATTAGTAATAAACATATGGCTATGGAGCCAAAATATCTTGACAGCAAATCTTGTTGACTGTCTCTGTAGCCAAATGGTTAAACATATTGCCTAGCATTGGTTAAGCGCAGGATTTCTCTTACTTACTTAAATCTTATCGAGATGCTATATGTCTGGGTTATTTTACAATACCCCATGTGAATCATATGTTTTTTTTAATAATAGAGAAGGAGAGACGAGCATGGGGTCCTATTTTGGCTTTGAAACAAGCAAATATTTGTCTCTATCCCTTGACAAAAAAGTATATAATGTAATAAAAAAAAAGTTACTTGATTTGCCTCTCCATTTGAGAAATACTTTCTTTTAAATGTCTGCATGTATAATTAAGTTCGTCAATTTGTTTGTCCTTCTTGCTCAAGTTCTCCTGAGAACTGGCGATGAGGTTCTTGGCATTTATATCTGCTGCTTTTTGAAGCTGAAGCTTTTCCTGGAATGAAGATTTGAAAGTTTTTAAACTATGTTTGTAAATAGGTAATGTGAGGTACAAATTAATTTAACTAAGGCCCAATATTTCTGAAGTTTTACAGCAGCCACATCATCACTATGCCAATGTAAAAACTGTTAGGCTAGCGCCATCTGTTCTGTTGTAGTTGGTCTTCATTCCAGCCAGACTTGCCAAATTTCAAACCATTAAAGTGATTTATTAATATGTTGAGGCTAGTTTCATTCGTTAAAGTTAAGATTTTCTCAGTATATACAAATTTTGCTGTAAGGATTCTATACCTGTGCTAACCTATCCTTCTCTTGCCTTAGAGATTCTAGATACTCAGATTCACGTCTTAGTTTATCCTCCTCCATTTTACTAACAGACCGTGTCAACTCCTGTATCTTCACCTCCATTTTGGCACATCTGTCGTTCCACAATGTTTCATTGCTGGTCGCTGAGCTTTTTAATGCTGATAATGTTTTCTAAGTTAAAAGAAAATTACTTTAAGCTGTTCGACACATTTAGGACATAACTAAGGGAATAGAAATAAATTTTAACCTTTAATTCTGCAATAGTTTCCGCCATGTGTTGTTTGACATCATTGTCATTGGCCGGCCCAGTTTTTAAAGACAAGTGAACGAGCCTCTTAAATTCATTGTGTTCTACTACTTCAAAGTTGTAGTCACTATGATTTATTTGGTGCAGTATTAAAAACCTAGAAAATATATTTAATGGTTGATGAAAAATCTAGTTTTCTTATTTTTAAGATAAGCAATAATATAGAACAAGTTGTAATACTTAATAGAAACAGAAAACAAGACAAACAACAGTTAAATGTTTACAATTAAAACTAAAAAAAACACAATACATATGTAATTAAATATTAAATAAATGGGGGGGGGGGGGGGGGGGGGGGGGGGGGGGGGGGGGGGGGGGGGGGGGGGGGGGGGGGAAAAAAAAAAAAAAAAAAAAAAAAAAAAAAAAGGGGGGGAAAAAAAAAAAAAAAAAAAAAAAAAAAAAAGAGGGGGGGGGGAGAAGGGAGAAAAAAAAAAAAAAAAAAAAAAAAAAAAAAAAAAAAAAAAAAAAAAAAAAAAAAAAAAAAAAAAAAAGGGAGAAAAAAAAAAGGGGGGGGGGGGGGGGGGGGGGGGGGGGGGGGGGGGGGGGGGGGGGGAGGGGGGGAGGGGGGGGGGGGGGGGGGGGGGGGGGGGGGGGAGGGGGGGGGGGGGGGGGGGGGAGAGAAGCCCCAAAAACCCAAAAAAAAAAGAAAAAAGAGGGGGGGGAAGGGGGGGGGGGGGGGGGGAAGAGAAAAGGGGGGGGGGGGGGAGGGGGAGAAAAAAAAAAAGGGGGGGGGGGGAGGAGGGGGAAGAAAAAAAAAAAAAAAAAAAAAAAAAAAAAAAAGGGGGGGAAAGGGGGGGGGGGGGGGGGGGGGGGGGGGGGGGGGGGGGGGGGGGGGGGGGGGGGGGGGGGGGGGGGGGGGGGGGGGGGGGCCCCCCCCCAAAAGGGGGGGGGGGGCCCCCCAAAAAAAAATTTTTAAAAAAAAAAAAGGGGGGGGGCCCCCCGGTTAAAAAAAAAAAAAAAAATTCCCCCGGGCCCCCCGGGGGGGGGGGGCCCCCCCCCCCCAAAAAGGGGGAGGGGGGGGGGTTGGGGGGGGGGAAAAAAGGGGGAAAAGGGGGGGAGGGGGGGGGAAGGGGGGGGGGCCCCAAAAACCAAAGAGAGGGGGCGGGGGGGGGGGGGGTCCCGGGTTTTAAAAGGGAAAAAGGGGAAGGGGGGGGGGACCGGGAGGCCCACGGGAAGGAGGGCGGGGGCAAAAGCTAGACAACAATATAGTTGCTTCTGAAAAGGAAACCACTCAGCTACGTTGGAACTGATGTCCCAACACTACACATACTAATATTGTGTGGCACTAACAACACTAATATTGTGTGGCAGGAGCCACACAATATTAGTGTTGGACACACTTGTGAAGCTTGTTTAGCGTTGTGAAGGACACACTTGTGAAGCTTGTTTAGCGTTGTGAAGGACACACTTGTGAAGCGTGTTTGTTCGTGAGAAATATAGGGTATGAATTGTATTGATAATAATTTTTCATTCAACAAACAATGCAGAAATATTGAGGAACATCCAATGAAAGTCTCACATATTATTAGCGGTGCATTGTTGCAACAGTCGTACAACTTGAGATGGAAAGTTGTCAAAATCGATGAGCAGACCCTGTTGCTTCTTCAACTCTTCATAATCACAACGGGAAATTAGTATCCGACACAAGAATGTAGGGTCTTCGTCATTAGATAACGTCAGCCTCTGAAATATTGAATTGTTAGGAACAGTTGAATTAAATTTGTCAACATTAAACCATATAATAATAATATCTGCATTCACCAAACTATCGCTGTCGAAGACTTTGTCCACGCAAATAGATATATCTTTTTTACTCTCTTCAAATCCTCTTTTAAACGATATGTAATATTTACCCTTATGAAACGTTTTAGACGGCATTATAACGTCAATTTCAAGTGAATTAACGTATGATTTTACATTTAGTTTACAACAACAAACGATTCTTTTTTGAATTAGACCTCTCTGTTTTGACGTTTAACGTCACTTTTCGCGATTAGTCAAATTGACATTTGAAATCTAAGACTTACAGAGTGAAAACAAAACATAAAACTCTAGGGATGTGGATGTTGATTCGAGTAGAAAATACTATTTCGTAGACAGCATATGGTAGCTAATGCTTCTGGTATTTTCTTAAAAAATAGGTGCCGCTTTACATAGACGAAGACATATTTATTCATCTGTGCAACGTTTATGCCTGTGGTTAGTCTATTTTTAGTCTTCCGATTCGAATGCTATTATGCTAGTCTGTGGCAGTTCTATGTCGTAAGGATTAACAAAGTCAAATGGAACATCTGTGCCGTACATAAATCATAATATAATACTACACAAAAATTAGATTAATTATGTTTCTAAAATCAGATGTTATGAATTAAAGACGAATTTATAATTTTACCATAGCTTTGGCATTTTTCGTTAGTTGCAAATGTATCGAAGTGTGACAGTGTAGTGAAACAGTGATATAGATAAAATGCCATTCAATTTTTTATGTTGTGTGAGAGCTGGAGTGGAAGACATAGTGGAACTGGACTATTCACACCAGTCCCTGACCGATGTTCCCACTGACGTGTTCGTGTACGAGCGGACGTTGGAGACACTTTTGTGTCAGTGCAACCGGATCGCTGAGTTACCGCGACAACTGTTCATGTGCCATGGTTTGAAGTTTTTAGATTTAAGCGACAACGAGCTCCAGGCTATACCCTCCGCCATATCTTCACTGGTGAACTTGCACTACCTTAATGTCAATAGGAACACTTTAGCCTCTATCCCGGACAGTATGAAGGCCCTAAAGCATTTATTATTTTTAGACCTTAGTGTTAATCCTTTAGAAAAACTGCCAGACACTATCACAAACCTGACGGCACTTCAAGAGTTGTATCTCAGTGACACTTACCTTGAATATCTGCCGGGCAATTTTGGAAGACTCGCACACTTACGCATACTAGAACTGAGGGATAACTATCTCATGATTTTGCCAAAGTCCTTGTCAAGATCGACAGACTTGTTGAGATTGGACATCGGTCAAAATGAATTTCAGCAGTTTCCCGAAGTTATTGGGAGATTTTTAAAATTGAAAGAATTGTGGATAGACGGCAACAGCTTTACAAATATATCATCAGTGATAAAACCGCTAGAGAATTTGGTTCATTTGGAAGCCAGCAATAATATGATTGAAGAGTTGGCTCCTGAAATTGGACATTGCACCCAACTGCAAGACTTGTGCTTATCCATTAACAACCTGACGCAGTTACCGGACAGCATAGGCAAGCTGAACAACTTAACATCGCTCAAATTAGACAATAACCGACTTTATTCTATACCGGAGAGCATAGGTCAACTGAAAAATTTGGAGGAACTTATGTTAATGTGTAATTATTTAGACAACCTCCCATCATCTATCGGTCTCCTCAGAAAACTACAGTACCTCAATGTCGATGAGAATATGTTAAGGTACATTCCACCCGAGATCGGGAGTTGCAGCAAATTGTCTGTTCTGTCTCTCCGAGCGAATAAACTGACTAAAGTCCCACCGGAGGTCGGACACTTGACCGCTTTGCGTGTACTCAATTTAGTCAGAAACTCTCTTAGTTTTTTGCCCCAGTCTCTACTGAACTGCGAAAATTTAGTGGCCCTTTGGCTTTCTGAGAATCAAAGTAAGCCACTAGTACCCATGCATTCAGAAATAGATCCTCACACGTACGAGCAGGTCCTGACATGTTTTCTCTTTCCGCAAGTGCCTTTAGAACCCGTTGAGTTGAAAATTGAAAAAGAAAAGTCTGAAACTGGTGACGCTCAAAATTCCGTGAGACACATCACCTTCGTAGACATGAAGCCGACCATCAAACTGCCAGAGAAGGGGGGACAGTTGAGGCGGGCGCCGACTCCCTATCCCAAGGAGCTCAGAGCCATGGCCAAGCACGCGAGGAGTATTCACAAAGACGGCGCTCAAGACGGTATTCCGATGCAGAACGCTGTCCATATAAAAGCCGCTAAAATAACTCCCACTTTACAGCAGAGATTCGCATCCGACAATCAGATAGAAGACACCCTCTTAAATAACGACACTAACGTCGGTTCTACCGAACAAGATCCCATGAATGTGTCACTCTACGACAATCTTCCGACCGAAAACTCCTATGACAAACCCTTAGATCTCGCACACGAACAGGATACGACCTATAAAAGCGTCGATCACGCTCTCTATTCAGAAAACAACACGGCCAACACGAACGTGTTCAAAGACGACGTCAGTTCGTATTCGTTAGTGTCCAGCCACTACAGTATTAGTCAAAGTGATAAATATGGCCGCGTCGACCCCGGTAGAGCTAATCGTCCAGTACAACACAACAACTACGCAGAGTGTCAAAGTTTTCCCACTTCGTGTGAAAATAACTACAGAAGTTGTAACGACGAAGCCTGCGAGCAGATGCAACGGTTGAGTCTGAGCTCCCAAGATAGACATTGCCCGGACGAGCCGTTGCTCACTCACTATAGGGAACCTCCGTACGGCTCGAGGTGCACGGTGGACGGCAACCTTCACTGCGATCCAGCCTATATTACGAAAGACGCGTTCCACGACTCCGCGTACAGAGGCGACGCCTACGCTAGCGCAAAGGAGAAACTGTACAATAGACAGAACTACGACGTCTTCAACTACCATCCGAATGTGGGACGCCAACTGCCGAGTCCCCGGCTGCATACGGTCAGCCAAATAGTGAATTCGACGACTTTGCCTAATATTAGTCATTATAACGCGTACTCAAATCAAAGAGAGGACGTGCACTTCAGCTCGGCCGCATCGGCGAGCCCGACTTACGTGGCCACGCAGTCGCCCGAGCTCTACTCTCCGACCGGGCACACGAACGACACGAACCCTTACCGCATGACGAACACTCCCCTGGTGTCGGACGACGGTAGCTTCCCCCACGTGCAGCAGATGGCCACGCAGAACGTGTACGACGTGTACGGCGCTATTCCGCCGTCCTCCGAAGTGACCGCGGCGCACAGGCGAAGTCCGTGCATATCGGAGTCTTCGTACGTGAGGGCTCAGCCCCCGCCGTACCACATCGCGGCCCCCTACACCAAACACGCGCAGTACTTCAACGGCTCCGGCGGATAGCCGACTACCCGCGCGTCGCACGGGAGGCCCTTTTAGTTGTACGGTATTTTATTTATTGTGATATAAGATTGTGTTGTAAAATGTATAAATCATCGTAAGGTGCTATGGAAGGAACGTACCGGAGACCGGTCGGAGATTCGAGAGGATATTTTTGTGGAAACGTTTAAAAGAGTATGTAAAAGGTACTTTCAAAGTACGACGCGTATCAACTATGTTGTTTTATCATATTGTTGAGTGAAAACAGAGTTTTTTAATATAAGAGTTAGTAATAAATTGTTTTATCGTAGGAAATTATTTAATTGGATAGTTTATGGAATAAGGGAGATTTTATCACGTCTTAACGGTCCGTGAGTCTCGGAATTTCCATGTGAATTCCGAGAGGGAATCGGGTGATGTTATTTTCAGGTGCACATTTTAAATTCAGTGTTGCGTGTAATGTATAATAGTAATACAAAGAATGCAATGATAAATAATTACTTTTTTCTTGCTGTTGAATACTAAGAACATATTTACATATTCCTAAACACCTATTGCATCAATATTTTATACAATTTTTATAAAATGTATTATATCGTACGTTGCATATATTATATTCTGTCCTTGTTAAAGTTGTTTAATCCCTGTATCGACGCTGCAATCTACGCGTTGTCAGCTATAAAATTAAAACCGATTCAATCGTGTATTTTTCGAAGCGGTGCTCAAATTACCATTAAAATTGTACTTACCCATCGTAACGCAATCTTTGAAGCTTTATTCCTGTAACGAATTAAGTTCCTATTTTTATATTTTTTTACGTAAACTAACGTCATTCCGCAATCTAACCGCGAGGCTTTCTATTCCTCGGCTGGAAGTTATTTACACTAAACTATTGTTTGTTCTACTATCTATTCATTCTACAGTATTCAAACTTTCAAGGTGTCTAATGCAATTTCATTTAAATAATAGGTCCTCCAAGTTTCTGCACCATAAGTGGGGGATAACCGCCCCCACGCGTCCACGGGTAGTGATGCGTGCGATAAAGGCGAGCGTGGATTTATCAGAAATACGCATGTCGAACTTACGGCGTTTTATAATTCTTATATGCCAAATCTACGATAACCTTAAATCTACGAAGAATCAATGTCAAGTAAAATATATTTGTAAAACCTCCCGTTGGGGGGAAGTGGGGCTTTAATTGTGAGTATGTCAGATACTTAATTATTATTCAAAGATAATTTATTTACGAGTCTTGAAGCCTAACGGATACTTGAGAAGTTTTAAAATATCACATAAATGTAATCTAGTCAATTTTTATTCTTATAAATCGTACCTACAAATAATACACTATATATATATATAGCCTACCATCACAATGTTATTTACACTAAAACATTCCGAATTATTTTCGATTCAATAATTATAACTAATAAGTACTTACTGACGATGTATTTTCGTTTAGTTTAATATAAGGGATCATATCTTAATGAATAGAATAAAAGGTGCCAATATAGATTTCGACGATTTTCCGCTAAAACTTCACAGCTCCTGAAGACTGAAACGCAAACATATCATTTGATTTCGTCGCAAAGTATAAGAAAACCTAAATATTATACTTCGCGATCAGTACTTGGTTTGTTACCTATTTTGCATCTCACTGTCTTTGGACTCCACGTTTCGTCCGATAAGTCTCCGCCCAATGCATATTTCATTTTTACATTTAGGGTTCCATACCGAATTATCAGCAACAGATTTATAATATAATGCTTAACCTATAGTCGGGTTATCACGTGGAGTTTTGTAATAAGTATAGAATCTTACCCGCCTTTACCCAGTGTATGGTGTGGCCACAGTGGCGACAGTGTAGCTCCGCTTATCTAAACTCTAAAACTCTAAACCCGCAAACGTTGATTTTGTTAGCATCATCTATCGTAATGGCAATAAGGTTTAAGCGAATTTATTGAACTACTCGACGACGTCGACTGGTCGAAATTTGTATAATATTTCAGTTTTTAGACAAATTACCACTTATACTGATTTCTTATATGTGTATATTAATATTAGGATCGTAAAAGATATATTTTGAAATGTCGAGTTATGTAATATTTCGTGTACCGCATCTCGCCGGTAGTACAGGGACACCAACGTACAAATCGAGAAATACGTATGAGGGGAGATTTTATAAGATATAAAAGTATTTATGATTATCTTTAAGTGCACAATTACGCGTAGTGTAACTAGGGGGGACGGGGGGCGAGGTAGTTCAGCACAAAATTCTTCGGTCATTCGCGATAAGGCTCTATTCGTACAAAAACCTGACCCGATATATTCGACATCAACGTGGCATACTTTCCACATGTGTCGTGCACGTTAGCTACGAACCAGAATTGAACCCGTTCGACACTGTTCGTAGGAATTACAAAGAAACGTTTATATTTGGTAGTAGGTTTGGGATGTTTTGAATGTCTCGTTATTTTATGTAAATTTTATTGAAATGATTGGATGATAGGTTTTCATATGAAATATTGTATAGTTTAATTTGTAGGGTCGCAATAAAGTGTTTTAACAAAGTGCTGCATTTTATTCATTTCTTAGAATCTATTTCCTTTAATGATAGAGGATGATGGTAGGTACCCCAGTCTATAGCATCTGAACAAGATGCGCTGTCGACCTATTTTGGCTTTGGATATTCGAGAATCCACAGACTGATACCGAAACGCGAGTAAGCTTCGCCACCTTTTTATCTGAGGACGACGGAATTTCTATATTCCTACCACCCATTTAATATCCAGGTGTTCAGACGAAGCCCAGCACGTTTCTGAAAAGTTTGAAACATCTTGGACCCGGTGGGGATCAAAACCGCGACCCGTTGATCATTAGACCGACGAGCAATGCGTTATTTTTACTAGACTCAGAACCATTATTTTCTAGCGGCGCTGTAGAAGCAAGCGTCTGGCCTATATCTGTGAGTCAAGGTGGGTGGCCTCCTCGAAACCTCGGAAATAAGACCGGACGCATAATATACAGGATACAAACTTAGTGATACTATTGTTCGTGTCTAAACAGTGTGAACCGAATGAGCGACACGCCCATAAAATCAGTTCGGCGGTTTTGGGTCAACGGCTAACGATTTGTACTTAGTAACGAGCAACAGGTATTTTAACGAAGAGGTTAAGGTGAGGTTGCCATAAGGCTTACCTACTCATTACCAAATGCAGGTGGCTTTTATTAATCTAACCTCAGTCTTCGATCCAAAGGCATCAACGTAAAGCTAATAATCGTAATGAGTCGTGAATTCGATTTCCACGAGATCCAACATTAAGGATTAGATATTCGGGTACTAGGAATTTAATCAACAAAAAGGTTTAAAGAATTTATTTTCTCAAAGAATATACATATTCACTTAATGAGAAAACATTAATGCTTAAACTTAAATGTGTTTACATGCATCGGACTTTAATTAAACGAAACAGTGATATATAATAAAAACATGCTTATTATTAACTTATACTTATTCTAAAATATGGAACTTTAATGATTTCTTGAAGATATTTATAGACTGGGCGTTTTTTAAACTTTCAGGTAACTTATTGTACAGATCAGCACCCGTAAATCTTAAACTATTTTTACCGTAATTAGTTCGGGGTTGGGGTAGTGACAAGTTATGTTTATTTCTGGTTTGGTATCTGTGATTTTTCTTCGTAAAAGTTGTTTGACTGTGTGTGCTATGTGTGATAATTTTATGAATGTAAATGCATGTATGATAGGTAAATAGTTGAGAAATGTTAAATAATTTTGTATTTTCATAAACCTTTTTAGTAGAAGTTAGTGTTTTATAATTAAACAAAGATTTTATGATTTTTGATTGACATGTTACTATAGGTTTTAAGTTGGTCTTTGCTGCACATCCCCACACTGGAATAAGATAGTCTAAATGCGGTTTGACTAGAGCATTATATATAATATATTTAGCCTTATGGGGAATACATTTGGATATTTTTTTCACTAAACCAATCAGCGGGTATATCTTTGATCGAATATGGTCAATGTGAGCTTTCCACGTAAGTCTATTATCTAAAATAAGTCCAAGGTATCTCTCCTGATTAGATCTCTTAATAGTTACTTTGTCAATCTTAGGTGGTTCAAAACATGGTATTTTTTTATTTTTTGCAGAAAAAATCATGTAGGACGTTTTTTCAATATTTACAGTTAGAAGATTAGATTTTAGCCAGCGTGATAATATGTTTAGATCATTTTGAGTTTCATTTATAATTCTATTTATACTATGACCAAAGTAAAACAGACAGGTGTCATCGGCATATAAAGAAATATTACCTTTGAGGCCTATTTTACTGATATCATTGATATAGACCAAAAATAACAAGGGTCCTAAGATGGATCCTTGGGGAATACCACACATGATTTTAGTCAGGCTACTTTCGTGTTTGTTAATTTTTACTAGTTGCTGCCTGTTACTTAAATATGATTCAAATATCTTATGAGCCGTACCTCCTAATATATGACTTAACTTTTCTAAAAGGACCGAATGGCTGATTGTATCGAAAGCCTTTTTCAAATCTATAAATATACCAAAAGCTATCTGCTTATTGTCAATGCTTTCACTTATTTTCGTCACAAGATCAATTGTTGCATTAAGTGTACTAGATCTTGGGCGAAATCCATATTGACCGTCGTATAAGAACTGTCTATCATTCAAATAGCCAAGTAGTCGGGTGTGGAGTATCCGTTCATAAATTTTAGATATTACAGGCAACACTGAAATCGGTCGGTAGTTACTAGGGTCACTTCTAACACCATTTTTATAGATTGGGGAGACCTTAGCTATTTTGAGTTTATCTGGAAAAATACCCTGCGCTAAACTATTGTTTATACAGAGTGTTAAAGTAGGTACTATAATGTTCTTGCAACATTTAATTGTTTTTGTAGTAATGCCATCATATGCGGAGCTACTATTGCTATCAAGATCATCAATTATATTAGATATTTCTGATTGAGAACATGGTTGAAAATATTCAAGTTTATTAGATGTTGCATTAGACAAAGTGTAGTCATAAGTAGAATGTTGAGAGTTACCCCTAATACGACTTGCCAACAATGATCCTATTGATGAAAAATAACTATTAAACGCTTCACAGATACCAATGCCATCGGTTATATTATTATTATTGATAGAAAGTTTTACGGGACCGAATTCTGTTCTAATTTTATTATGTACCAAATCATTGATTAATTGCCACATCTTTTTTGGTTTGTGTCTACGAGCATTAAATTCATTAAAAAAATATCTCTTTTTTTTTAAATCCCGCCAAATACCAACTTCGACGGGACAGACGGCAGAGACATCCTTCATCCTTAGTCTCCCCGTGACCACTGCTGCTGCAAAACATCCGAAACGTCGATTACGAATAAGGTTAACCAATATAATATATCTCGTGTTTTAAACAATAACCAAACCGTTACAGTTATTATTTTTCTATGACAGGTAAAAGGCGGTCTGACTTTAGTAGTATCATCCAAGCAAGATGCGTACCGAACGTCGAAAACCTCAAGGTAGCAGGGAAACGCTGGATTCAAGTAGTAAACGACCGGTCGTACTGGAAGTCTATGGGGGAGGCCTATGTCCAGCAGTGAATCGAAGATACTACTTATACTAATACATACATATTTGGTAGATCTGTTTATAAACATATCCTATTTACGTTACAAAACTTGTATAATTAACTTAAAGGTAAATTGTATAACATCTTAATGTCTGTAATTCTTTTTAATGTCCTTTTATTTATAGACGTTTTGCGCCCTGCCCGACTGAAACTGTCATTAACTTCTTTCGGGTTCCGACTCCTATAATCCTCTCAAGTGACGTAGTTCTATAAAATACCCAACATGTAAATACTGTCTATAGTTTACGCGCGTAGTACACATTTAAATAAAACACTTTAACAGTTTAAAACGCCATATATAGTTAAACTTATTTGAAAATGATTTTTAACTTCGTCCCGACGTTTCGACGTTTAAAATATATATCGCGTTTTAAACATGTATTTCGACGGGTGGGAGTCCAGCCAGACGGGATCCCGAAGGAATTACGCTATAGAATATGCGATGCCCACGTAGTTCCAAAAAGCTGCGTTGCTCATTATCGATCACTTGCGCGCGCCGTTTTATCTTTGAGCTTACAAACGTCAGCTGGTCACAAATAGCTCGGTTGCCACCAGTGAGGAGTTGAGATTTCGGTGTCTAAATCCAGGTGACAAGATGCCAGGGGCCAGGCATAAGATCCTGGGCCACGTGCTGTCTGGTTTCTGCCACAAGATGAACAGACGCAAACCCATCTACGGGGATTCCCTGGACACTCCGCTGAATAGGTGCCTCACCACTTTCGACATCACTCTATTGGGTAAGCACAATCAGTGTTTAATTAAATAAACCACCGTTGAAGGCTAAAAACTCTCCGTGGCTACTGCAAAGCATCAGAAATGTCGGGCCTTAGTCAAAATAATCTCCAAATACGTTTAACTAATATATGTCGCGTTTTGAACCGTTGAAGTGTTTTATTTAAATAAGAAAGTATACAATCGGTGTTCAGACAATATTAGTACTCACTCATAACGTACATAATAAGTACTTTGTAATGTATGCCCACTTGAATCCTTGTTCACATCCACAACGCATTGTTAGCTGTATTTGTTTGAATGGATAATAATTAATTATTTATTACCTAGAGACGGCGAATAAGCGCGCTTTGAAATAACATCTACCATATATCGTCAGTGAATCATGCTTGTAACTAATTTTATCTTGTTTATCTTCTATGTTGGTATGGAGTGAAGAACCCTAACTATGCTATATCGAACTTTGAAAGATAATTTACCTTTAATGTTTTGTCTCGACTATAGAACTTATCTACGATCACGAAAGAAATATGTCGCACTGTGCATGCTTGCCCGGCAATTGTTTATTGTGCGCAATAAAAATACATATTACTTACCAAGTTGGATATAGTGTGTAGAGATACCTACTTTCGTGTTTCAACTTGCATCGAGTCCAAATGTTTATCTGTTTTTATGCATGTTTGTATTGATGCTATATTATATGCACGAACACGGTAGCTCAGTTGGTGTAATCAACAACACATATGGACAGACTCGTTGGTCTTACTTTTTTTAATAAGTCCGATGAACGAACCATCGCCCACAGATGGAAAAGTCGTTATGTTTAATTGTGTTTCGGTTTTATTTATGGATTTCCGTATCCAGAGCCAAAATATTATCGAGATGCTATATGGCTCCATCTATATTTAACCTACCATCAAGTGGACCCCATCTTGTCTGTCCTCCATGGCTTCGAGTCCCCCCCGATTCTATCAATCTGAATATTGTTTTTACTGAGTATGGCTGATATATTACTGTTTGTGCCCATGAAAAAGTAACGAACGCCTATTTCTATAACCAGGATAAGAGCAAGTCCAACGTGTTCCCAGGGCTCCCTAGAAAGCATCGCGCTGGTGGTGTGTTTAGTACTTCTGGTCGCCTATTGTCTCCGAGGAGGTTTTAGTACGATTTACAACACTTTCCACGCCACTAAAGCACATGGGCGGGCATTAACACCATAAGTTAAAAGAGGACAAGACCAACTCCAGTATAGCCGATATGGTCATGTGGCTTTTCAGGTATCGGCCACATGGTAGGCGCTGGCATCTACGTGCTCACGGGCACAGTCGCCAAAAACATGGCTGGCCCGGCTACCGCCCTCAGCTTCCTCCTTGCCGGCATCACGTCCACGCTGGCTGCGCTGTGCTACGCCGAGTTCGGTACCAGGATTCCGCGGGCAGGCAGCGCATACGCGTACACTTACGTCAGTATAGGCGAGTTCTGGGCCTTTATCATCGGCTGGAATATTGTTCTGGAATATATGATTGGTGAGTGTTGTGTTGCTTAATTTCGAAAGCTTTATTAAAGTTAGGTAAATCACATATAGCTTACTTCATAAATCATTTTAATTCCCTCATAAGAGCTTGTATAAATAACATAATATTAAGCTCGGGTTGATTTCAAATTCAGTAACGACGACATACCGAACTCGTCCTCTACCCGTGATCAATTTGTCGATCCGGTCAATAGGAAAGTAACGAAGCACGGTCGTTGATCTTGGGTTCGAGTCCCTCTAGTATTAAATATATTCAAATTAGAGTGACGGCAAAGAAAATTAAAACACATAAAGTTAACAAATATATTTCGCATTTTAAACCTGTCAAAGTGCACTTAAATGGGTATAGACAAAATATATAGTACGCGCCACAGATGCCACTTAGTATTTATACCTATATAAAAACATTTCAGGTGCAGCATCGGTAGCGAGAGCCTCGTCAGGCTACCTGGACGCTTTACTGCACGGAGCGATCAGCAACGCGACCATATCGGTGACGGGAGAACTCCACGAAACTCTTCTTAGTAAATATCCGGACATTCTGGCGTTCCTGATCTGCATCATAGCCTCCCTGATCCTCGCCGTCGGCGTTAAGACCTCCGCTTACATTAACAACGGTCTGACCATTCTGAACCTCATCGTGATCTCCCTCGTCATATTCCTCGGCTTCTTCTACGCCGACCTGAGCAACTGGTCCGATCTGCACGGAGGTTTCATGCCCCACGGGCTGGGCGGAGTTCTCACCGGGGCCGCCACCTGTTTCTACGCTTTCGTCGGCTTCGACAGCATATCGGCGTCCAGCGAGGAAGCCAAAGACCCGACACGTTCCATTCCTACGGCGACCCTTCTCTCTATGGGTGTGGTTGCGATAGGATACATCCTAGTGGCGCTGTCTCTCACTCTCATGGTGCCTTACAATACTATTAACGTTGACGCCGCTTTGCCTGCGGCCTTCGAAGCCGTTCACGCCGACTGGGCCAAGTATGCCGTCGCCGTGGGGGCTATTTGCGGAATGACAACGACCCTATTGGGGTCCTTGTTCTCCCTGCCTCGTTGTCTCTACGCGATGTCCTCGGACGGCCTCTTGTTCGGTTTCCTCAGCGATATGAGCAACAAGTCTCAAATCCCGATATCGAACCTAATCATATCAGGTTTCTCTTCGGCGATCATAGCTCTGCTATTCGATCTTGAGAAGCTCGTCGAGTTTATGTCGATTGGGACTTTGTTGGCGTATACAATAGTAAGCGCTGCTGTAATCATCCTGCGCTACCGGCCCACGCCGCCTTCCGAAGATAGGGACTTTGGAATACCACAATTGGAGTCTCCGGGAGATCGCGAGGACAGTTCGGCTACGGGAACACCCGGAACTGATGCGGGGTCTTCGTCATCCGAGGTAATCTAGACTTATGTATCATACATACAGATTTTGTGTCAAGCAAATCGCAACTGTTGGTCAAACCGCTTTTCGTGGAGTAATATTCTAAGGAAAATATAAACACGAGTTTTTTTTAATGATGACAGACGAGCATGCGGTTCACGTGATGGGAGGTCAAATACCCTTTCTTGCTTCTTTAAACTATGTTTCTATCTACATATTTCAGATGTTTGAAGCCTTAACCGTCGGTCGTCTCCGACCGCAATACGCGTGGCTCGAGCCCCTGGTGGGGGGCAGAGCTCCCGGAAGCGCCGTCACCAGTTGCGTGTATGTGTTTACCGTGGCCACGGCCATCTTGAGCGCCCACAACTTGCTCACCAAGCACAACGTGATGTGGATGGTCATCCCGGACATCGTGCTCAGTTTAATTATTGTAGGATGTGAGTCTTATAAGGTTTCTTCTCAAAATATTTTGACTGTTTCGTCTTTATAACACTGGAGGTCAGACAAACATGGGGCTACTAAGTGCAGGGCACAATGTCTCTGACCGTAATAGCAATAGGTCGTGAACGACCTAGACGGAATACAGAAATTGTTGTCCCTCTTTGAATTGCAGGTCTTTTCATCATCTGGGCCCACCAACAGAGTCCGACCCGTCTCCCCTTCCGCGTGCCGTACGTGCCTCTCCTGCCAGCCGCAAGCGTGATGCTCAACGTGGAGCTAATGGTCAACCTCAACGCCCTCACTTGGGCGAGATTCGCTATTTGGATGACTATTGGTAGGACGACCTTGCTTAAGTTATCTGTTTCCTTCTAAATTAAAATAAAACACTTTAACGGTTTAAAACGCGATATATTAGTAAAACTTATTTAAAAATGATTTTTAACTTCGGCCTGACGTTTCGGATGCTTTGCAGCAGCCGTGGTCACGGGGTGTCCCCCCGTGACCATATTAGTCAAATAAGTTTAACTAATATCGCGTTTTAAACAGTTAAAGTATTTTATTTAAATGTGTACTACTCGCGTAAACTATAGACAGTATCTGTTTCCTTTTTCTATTTCTTCGGCGTTTTAATGACACAATTTTCCATTATTTTCTTTAGCACGTGTCCCTTCTACTCCCCCCGAAAGCCTTCCTAGGTGAATTGTCTAACCAACACAAAAATAATTCAATTAGAACCAATAATTCCTGAGATTTGCGCGTTGAAACAAACAAAAACTCCAACTTGATAATATTAGTAAAGATTACAATTGACATTAATTCGCTTAAAAATGAATATTTCAGGACTCCTTCTGTACTTCCTCTACGGCATACACCACAGCAAACTCGGTGAAGGCGTGACCGGTCTTCTGTCGCGCTCCAACAGTGGGACCCACACCGGCTGGGGTGCCGTGGACAAGACGAGCACTCTCGCGCGGCGCGTCGGACGATTCGGCCGCGGCAGCCGAAACGACGACCGAAAACCCATCATCTGCGACGACGAGCTGGCCAGACGGGAACCGTGATTTTAAATGGATATATAACGAATTGACAAATCCGAGCTTCTTTTCTTGCTGCATTTATGCTGATTAAGTGCAGAGTTACGGCTGTTTTAGTATAGGCGCGTGCGCAGGATATTTCACAATCGCAGGGCTAAAAGTTTGCATTCCTCTAAGTTGGAACAGACTGTAAAACATATATGACAAAGCGCTTTTTTTTTTTTGCTTCTCAATACGATCTGGTGTTTTAGGTAACTGTAATTTGATTAGGTAAATAAAATTTTCATATTACAAATCGCTATAAAGTGGTATCACGACAAGTGTATTGTAGATATTTCATACATTAATTTTTAAAATCACGCACGTTAGCACATTCCTGACGCACATTTTTACCTGTAGTGAGAGTAGGTTTGTGGTCAATACCAATTATAGGTCAACATGTGTTGCGCAAAAACGTGTCAATAGTCAACCACGTTAAAAGCCGGACACGTAATTACTAATTTTCTGTACTTATGTAATTATTATATATGAGGCCGCTAGAGCCAGAGTAGCCTAACTGCAATTTTATGACTTATTTATATTTTCAGTCTAAAAATGTTAATCTGCAAGAGCACAGTGACCGAAAATTGTTAAAATAATTCTTACACAAATAATAGTACAAATTCATTTTATCTTCCTCCTTATTGAATATCACGTTTTTATTATTAGGCCACTCTGACTCTAGCAGCCTCATATGTGGATTTCTTTCTACCCATTCTATATGGTTCCTTGGTGCTTGAAGAGTGACTCTGTGAGAGATGTTCCCATTTAAGTTTATTAAAACATGCTGCCGATATGTATAGACAATTAAACTACAATAGTAATAAAAAAACTTCTCAACGTAACCTTCGCGCACAATCTATCTTCCAATATTCCATGTACAGATAATATAGGACACCTTGCTTAGTTGATTTCTACTCGAAAATAGCTTTAGGAATATTTTAACTAAATGTTGTCAAATAAATTGTTATATATTATAGTTAGTCGTTAATGTAAATAAAGGAAATGTAATCAGTTGGTGTTTTATCATTTTAAGAGGGGAGTACAGATCTAGATTCCCTTTATAGAAACACTAGCTGAGACAGTGACTACGTCCGCGAGAATCGTTATTTTGAGCTACCAAATTTGTTTTTGCACCCCTCCACTTTAGAACTTAGCTTCCTTACCACGTCGGTCGCTTCCCGTGTTTTGAAGTTAATCTTAAAGAAAGTGGCTTTGACCCATTAGGAATAATCATTTGAATTTTCCATCTCTTGATTATTCGAACGTTGACTGTTCAAACAAACAAACAAACGTTCACCTTTATGTACATATTATTTATCGTTGACTGGTGATAGACCTCGTCATAGAACTAACAATTAAACACAAATAACAAAATATAATAGAGGTACGATCTCACACAAAAAAAATCTATTTTTATCTATTTTTGCTTAGTGGCAACGAATTAACGACGCGCACAGGACTTGAACCGGCATCCATACCCTCCGTGTTGTTACGCTTGCCAATTGAGCTAGCGTGTCAATTGGTTAGAGCAGCACACGTTGAAATTTTTAATATGACATTTACGTAAATTATTGTTGGCAATGCTACGGAACCTCACCTGCGCTAGCCCGGTTCGCACTTGGCACATCTTTGTTAATCTCATCTTTGAGATTCTTTATAATAACAAATTTCGGATCTAGATAATGTTAAAGTAAAGAGGTGGTTTAAATAAAAACTCATTTATTCAGTATTCAAGGTTTTATTTAGAATTTCGTGTTTTATATATATATATACAACTGTTATATAAACATACTACGGTATATTGTAATATGTAAAATTGACTAAAATATAAACTAAGAGAGAGGTAGCGACATCTTTAAACGAAACCAAATTGTCATTAGAATGTAGTTTATTGTTAGGGGTAAGTTCCAAGTTGTTAGGGTTTCGTACTGCAAGGAGAAAAACGGGACGCCATTACTGAAATCTTTCAAGATCCATCAAATTTTGTACGTCCGTTAACTATAAAACGGTTACGGTAGTACACATTTAAATGAAACGGTTTAAAACGCTAAATATGAACTTATTTACAAATTATTTTCACTCATATCACAGACGCGACTACGGCTGCTGCAAAACAACCGAAACGTCGGGCCTAAGTTAACTAATACATTTCGCGTTTTAAACTGTTAATGTGTTTTATTTAAACTTTACTAGAATAAACACAAAAACGAAAAAAAATCAATGATGACGTGTAAGATCGCTGTAAATGCCGGTTCAAAACCCTTGTCATCGAATTAAATTTATATTTTAATTTATCAAAAATGCACTTCAAATAACAAAACTAGGTAACAATATGCAATTTATTGTCCCCAGTCTAGTACGGAACCCACGTACGCGAGTTCGACTCGCGCTTGGCACTTTTGTTTTAGAGGCCAAAATACAAAACAGTTCGTAAGAGACGAAATTTAATACTCTAGTACAATTTTTATAAACTATTTCCCAAAAACATCTCAGAAGTTAGAGCTTAGCTCGACGGATTATGTTTTGTCTCTGTTCTTTGTAGGGATTGTGGGAGACAGACAACGCAATATTTCCCGTTTAAAACAGTTCGTTTTTTATTTAACGTCTGCCACTCAACGAATAATACGTATTTACATATTATAATCCAATTCCCGTAAAGCCCATATTTTCTCTAAACACTTAAATAATTTTAATGCAAGCGTGCTATTGAAACACAGTCAAACGTGCCTAGTTAGACAATACATAAAGAAATCTGTTTTAGATTTAAAAAAATTACGATATGCGCAGGATTCGAATCCCTTCGCTCTGCTATCGAGCTATCGTATGATAAAATCTTTTCTCATCATTAAATGTACAAAAAAGTTTCCGTTAAATTTGTATTGCCTACACAAATTTCGTTTCTTAAATTATAAGCTTACAGAAAGACAATATGTCATAACTAAAAAAAAACTTAGAGCCCCCTTTATTTACGCGCTAAATAAACAGCAATAATTTTCGTATAAACATTCAAACAGTAAACTTTTAACGGCCTAAAACCACGTAATATATTACGTTAACTTACATATACGTGCACGGATGGTAAAAGAATTCGAAACATCAGATGGTAGAACAAATTTACTGAATACATTTCGTGTTTTAAATCGTTAAACGTTAATCGTTACTCGATCACATTTAGATAATTACTTTGAGCTTCTGTTTGTTTCTTTATTAACATAAAAACAAATACAATATTTTTTCCTAATAAACTAAAATTAATATCTAATTGATGGAATGATTTCAAGAGAATTCAAATGAACGTTTTAATCTACGATTAACTAACCGATGGTTAACTAAACAGTGAGTAACCACAGAAATGAATTAATTGCGCTTTTTTTTTAAATTCCATAAATATAAGTATTTTATTAACAGCCATTTTAATTGGGGCAAAGTTGTTGATATCAGTCCCACAGCTGGGAATTACGGCCACTGCTTTTAGCTGACTTTATATCATCCAAATCTAAAAGCACAGCCGGGCAACGATCTGCCGACCTCGGCTGTGAGATGGAAATAAATAGATGATATTCAAACACAACCCAAATACATAAAAATAAATATTAAATAACAACGTAACGGTTTGTATTATAGGGTCTTAAATACTGTCTCGAGGTAATTTAAATAAAACATTTAACGGTTTAAAACGCGAAATAGTTAAACTTATTTGAAAATATTTTAACTTCGGCCCGACTTTGGTTGCAGCAGCCGTGGTCAGGGAACAGTCTTCATCAAATAAGTTTAACTAATATATCGCTTTTAAACCGAAATTTATTAAGGGTCTTGGTCAGTTTTATATAGGTTCGATTTTCGACAATTTTTGTAGAAAATTAAGATGATGATGCATTGATTTCGACCAATTTTACATGTGTTTTTAACTTTGTTTACTTTTGAGTGACCAAGACACCTTAAAGACCGCTTAAATCAGTCTCATCCGCGCCGCCCGATCTGCCAGGCGCTGGGCGGCAGCCGCTGCAGCCGCTGAATGGTCCGCCGCCCCCACTGCAGCCAGAGGAACCCGACCACGAGGCAGACGGCCGTCTCTATGTAAAACCCGTCGATTCGTTCGTCGCACGCGCCGCCGTTGCTCTTGCAGACCTACGACGAACAAACAGTTCTCAGTTTCTTCTTCAGATAGAGGACAGACAAGTAACCATACGCGAGTAGTTCACATTTAAATAACTTTCAACGGTTTAAAACCCATAATATATTTTACTAGGACCTAGTGTCACACTCGGTTCTGTAAGGAGCCATCCAGTTTCTTAGACCTATATATCTATAAGAGATGGCGCTAGCGTAGCAGTTTTGACTTTGACATTGAGACACTTTTCATATATTTCATATTCGTCCCCCCTTGAAAATGGCGGCATGCAACTTCGTGCCGTGGTTAAATTAAATGAAATAATAAATATATAGCGTGTTTAAATATTTGTAAAGTGTTTTATTTAAACGTATTTAGCCATATAAGAAGAAAAAGAGAAGGAAAAGGGTTTTTTTCTTCTTCTTTTGCCGGTGCTTGACCAGATAAAAAGGACTCTTCTTGTATTGTTCTAAATCTATAAAAATATTGACTAAGAAAGTCGGGGCGAGTCCTCTACTTATGAACACAATATTTTTGACTTTGACTTTGCATTAATTAAATATTCAAAACTAACTTTAGAGAAATATGCCATTCCCATACCTCGGTCTCCAGCTCCGTAGAACAAGTGTTGTCCTTCAGGTTTTCCGCTGTGCAAGTCCTGTATGTGAGCCTGTCAACGGCCCACAGGGCCAGGGTGTTAGGCCAGTTGGTGCCCAGGTTGGAGACGGTGTTGAGGAGGGTCATGTAGGTGCCGCCCACCGTCGGGTCGGACACTTTCGCGAAGAACGCCATCACGGCCACGAACATGCAGTAGAGGCAGGTCTGAAAGATTTTTTGGACGGTTTAAAACATTATTTATGATTTAACTTTAATACAACCTAAGCAAATACCAGATAAAAAGATACGCTGCCGACCTATTTCGACTTCAAATATTTCTAACTCCATAGTCTGAAACCGAAACGCGATCACTTCATGGATTTTCCATTCGGTTACGACTATCTAGGCAGCACGATCAAAATTACACATTTTCCTTTAAATAAGTACACAATACAATAGACTGACCTGATGGAATACATACAGGCACATCAGTATGAACAAGTAGAAGTATGATGGGCCCGAGTCGCCCAGCAAAGTGGGTGTGACAGCAACGAGAGCAGCAGCAATCGGTCCCACCAGCAGCCGCAGCGGGAACGCCCTCAGCCACAACGACAGCGGCTGTGGCCCAGTCGTGTGTTTAGCGAGTATCTGAAAATGTTTAAGTATTTGTATAAGACCTCCTCTATAGCTAAATGGTTAAACGTGTTGCCTAGCACTGCGTTAAGCGCGAGAGGTCCTGGGTTCGAATCCCGGGGAAACAGTAAATTGTTTCGGTCGGGCAGGGCACAGAAGTCTGATCAACTACTTGCCTGTTAATAAAACTGTGAAACGGACACAGAAATGTGTTCGCCCTATGCCCCACGAGGGGAAACGGGATTTCACACTATAAGTCTTGTTACACTTGTTCTATCGGCCTAACCTTAAAATAAAACACTTCGAAGGTTTATAACGCGATATATATTAGTTATTCACTACGGCCTAACGTTTCGGATGTTTTGCAGCAGCCGTGGTCAAGCGCAGACACGTCGTGCTATAGTTAAAAATAATTTGTAAACAAGCTTAAGTAATATATTTCGGTTTTTAAGCCGTTAAATTGTTTTATTTGTTTTTGGTTAGGATTTTGTAATAAGTGCAAGTTTTTTAAATAAATATTGGTACTTTCATAGCTTACTAAGTTCCCAATAATAAACGCACTCACCACAGGCATAATGATCTGCACAGGCACCAGAGGAACAGCCAGCAGGGCGAGGTCTTCGCGCGGAACACCTGCTTCCACCAGCTTCAAACCGGACACTGCGTCACTCGCACAGAATCCAATCTGAAAGTGTTTATATAGCATGACAGCTATTGATGATCTATTTTAGTTTGAAGATATCAAGAGGAGAGGAGAGATTTTCGAACCCACGACCACGGCGATGTGTGGATATTTCATATTAGGAGTTAGAAATGGAAGCTGATATACCCCAGCCTATAGCATCTAAACAAGATGCGCTGTCCAAGTATTTTGGATTTGGATATTCGGAAATCTACGGACTGAAACCGAAACGCGATTACACTTCACGGCCTTTTCGTCTGTGAACGGTGGTTCGTGAAGACGAATTTTCGATATTCCTAATCTTAACATCCATTCCAGATGATTCCTGATTTCCAGATGAAATTGACCATGTTTCAGAAAATTTTAAATTTAAAACATGTTGACCCGGTGGGCATTGAACCCACGACTCGTTGAGTATTAGCCATACATTGCTACTATAAGACCAACGTGCCCATCAATATCAAAAAAATATCGATTCTAGTCTCCAGCGTTAGAATCCAGGACAAAGCACGTAGCCACTAAACCAT